GCAGTAGCCAAGTTTTATCATGTTCAGAACCCATTTGTCTATAGTTATGAGGAACCACTGTTGGTAAAACGGTGCTAATCTGTGGTTGAATAATCTGATGGCTCTCGACCAGATCTTCAAAATGTCTGTCTCAAGTTAGAGGCCTGGGATGCGGTGGGTTGGTCAACTGACTGTTGCCTCCTCCCCTGCCGCTGCCTAATCTCATATTGTCTCTGAGTGTGAAAGAAGGTCTGTATCTCTGAGTGTAAAGTTTGTTTTGCTTTCTTTTTGGTGCAGGGGCCTGTATACTGGAAATGCCCAACATTTTAAGTGTGGCCCTGGAGTCTTTGAAGGAGTGTAAGAAAGTGTCAGTGCCATTTGCAAAGAGCCTTGGACCCTCAAAAAGAAGGTCCTCCACCTTCATCTGGACCTCCTTTGGGAAGCGAGAGGGGTGGAGCCAGGAGACTCTTCTCATCACCACTGAGGTGGCAAGAGCCCATGAAGCTGTGTCAGCAGAGTCCAAGGCAGCTTGGACTATCAATATCAATATTCTGGCTATCAATATCCCCTCATTGGTGTTGGCTCTCATTTGTTCTACTTTGTCATTAGAAGGAATTGAATAAAGTCTGTGATTTGCTCAAATATGTGGTGAGAGTATTTTGCTAACTTCACAGTGTAATTAGTGATGCGTAGCTGTAAGGAGGCTGAGGAGTATGATCGTCTGCCCATTACATCTTGACGTTTCCACTCACTGTCTGGATGAGGGTGGATATGGCAATGTTTTGTTTGCTTCTCTGGTTCGCTGCCTCAATCATTATGGAGTTAGGGGCAGGATGTGAGAATAGAAACTCAGACCCTTGAGGAGCTATATGGTATTTTCTGTCCACCTTCTTGCCCCCAGTTTGAATGGCGGTAGGTGTTTGCCAAAGTAGTTTGGCTGGATCTCCAAGGGCGGGATCCATGGGGAACACGAGCCTTGTAGCTGTGGAGGTATGGAGGATGTTGATAAGTTTATGCTGGGTCTCTGGCATTGTGGTTAAAGAGACCTCAAGGTGCTCATCTACCCTTTTGAAAAGGTCTTGGAAGACCTTGAAGTTGTCCCTGGATGGGGGTTATGCAGGCATGAGTGTATCTTCAGGACAGGGAGGAGATATGTGTGTGAGTGGATGACAGGAGGTAGTGGATGGGGGGCCATTACCACCAGCTGTAATACCCAGCGGTCTAATGTAATCGCCGTCTATGTATCTTGAAAAGGTTGATGTCGATTGTGGAAGAGGTGAGTGACTTGTTGTTCCGTCACCATAAGGACTTGTTGCATGCCATTGACTGAATCATCAAACTTGCTGTTTGGAATTCTGTTGGTTGTTCGAACGGAATGGTTGGGGCCGTCTACATTGCGGGAGCTGTCTTGGACGTGATTGTCTATGGCTTGCTGCTGATTGTTGTCTTTGCTAGGGGTAGTTGTACCTCTTCTGGTATGCGTAATATCTCTTGTGCCGAAAAGGGGGTGTATACATTCCCAAGGTGCGGAGCGTAGACTGGGAATCTCTTTCAGAGTGGAGGATATCATCCATCTTTTCCGCAAACAACTAGTTTTTGTCTAAAGGGAGGTCTTCCACTTTTGTATAAAGCTCCTTTGGAACTGCTGCAGAAGCAAGCCAAGATGAGCGCTTCATCGTTATTGCAATTGCAGAGGTGTGAGCTGCTGTGTCCGCCGCATCCAAGGAGATCTGCAGACTTGCTCTTGATGCTGTAAAACCTTTCTGCACTAGGGACTTTAAGAGATGGTGCTTGTTTTCTGGGAGGTACTGAAGAAGCTGCAATATCTTTTCATAATTGTCGAAGTTGTGGTTCAATAGCAAGGTGGCATAATTAGAAATACGTAGGAGAAGGGTCGCCAAGGAATAAACTTCCCTGCTGAATATATCTAGCTTTTTGGCATCTGGTATTGTCTTATACTGTGGTGTCTTGGCCCGTTGTTGCGCTGCATCTACCACCAGCAAGTTCAGCTGCGGATGGTTAAAGAAGAATTCTAAATTGTTGGAAGGGACAAAATTTCTCTTGTCTGCTCTCCTGCAGGTTGGTGGTACTGAAGCTGGTGTCTGCCAGATAATGTCTGCCGCTTCCATAATGGCTTCATCAATAAGAATGGCCGCTTTTGCGCTCCGCCTTGGATGCAAATTTTTCAGCAGTTGATGCTGTTTCGTTTGTGCTTCTATCATCTGGATTTCTTGGGACTGAGCCACGCACTTGAAGAGGTCCTGGAACTACTTAAAATCATCTGGCGGGGACGTGTTCAGTGGGAAAACTGCTTTGTATGTCGAAGACGGTGAACAGTCAGGAACTGGATTTTCAGTCTGATGGTCGTCCACTTCAGACAACTGCCCATCTTCCAGGTCTGACTTCTGTGTTGTGGCCCCCAAACTGCATATTTGAGAAGTCAGGCAATGGCCAGGGTGCTGCTGTGGCAGAGAGTACCCCACTGACGGAGGATTGTCGTGTGAGGGCTGTTGATGCATAAGGTGATGGAAATGTGAATGTGACGAGTACAAAGAATGGTGATATTCATAATATCGATTTGACAGAGACGGCGTCTAGCACCTGGACGATCTATTACTGGTATGTCGCCTCTTGTGACTGACCCACAGCAAGCAGTAATAACGTGGCGACCGTCCATATGGTGGAGAGTAGGATCGGTGCCTTTAGTAGTCACTGTAATGTGGGCGGCCATATGGAGAATACCGTCTATAATAGACCTGGTGTCTTGGGCTGTGGTGCCGGTAGGTATGGTGCAGAGGTGAGGTATACATCAGAGGAAAAGGAGGGGGACCTGGTGAAAATTTTGGAAAAGGGGGGGTGGGGAGTCCTCTGTCCCCATGCTTTAGCTGATGCCTTTGCTGGAGGCTCTGCCTGAATAAACTCCGGCTCCAGCATCTGGTGCGGTGCTGGTCTTTCAATCAGCTGCGCTGTATGTGCCAGGGCTGTTTGGAACTGGGAAGCACCACGTGGCTCTGACAACAGCACTTGTTGTGATGCCTTTAGTAGTCACTGTAATGTGGGCGGCCATATGGAGAATACCGTCTATAATAGACCTGGTGTCTTGGGCTGTGGTGCCGGTAGGTATGGTGCAGAGGTGAGGTATACATCAGAGGAAAAGGAGGGGGACCTGGTGAAAATTTTGGAAAAGGGGGGGTGGGGAGTCCTCTGTCCCCATGCTTTAGCTGATGCCTTTGCTGGAGGCTCTGCCTGAATAAACTCCGGCTCCAGCATCTGGTGCGGTGCTGGTCTTTCAATCAGCTGCGCTGTATGTGCCAGGGCTGTTTGGAACTGGGAAGCACCACGTGGCTCTGACAACAGCACTTGTTGTGATGCCGGTGCTGGAAGAGTTCCCTCCAGTGCCACAGCTGCCCCCAGGGTTGTCTGCTGCTCCGGCACCGCTTGCTGGGCTGAACGGAGTGATGCCAACACCTTTGAAGGATGTGCACCTCTTGTCTGCACAGCTGCTGTCTTCGGCGCCGGAAACTTTGCTTGCTGTGATGCCGGTGCCGTGCAGTTTTCTGCTGCGCTTTAGCAGTTAACCAGTGCGGTGCCGGTGCCTTTGTAACACGGGCGCCATTTGTCGGCACCGAGGCTGTTTTTGGTTCTGAGTCAGCTCTGTTGGAAACCGCAGCCTTTTTCCCTTTAGTCCCCAACCCAGATGGTAAGAGTCATGGGACAGAGCCAGAGGATCCCAGTTTACCTCCCACCGTTCTTTAAGGTGGGAGTGATCTGGCAGGGGAGATCTCGGTGCCGGTGCCTTTGTAACACGGGCGCCATTTGTCGGCACCGAGGCTGTTTTTGGTTCTGAGTCAGCTCTGTTGGAAACCGCAGCCTTTTTCCCTTTAGTCCCCAACCCAGATGGTAAGAGTCATGGGACAGAGCCAGAGGATCCCAGTTTACCTCCCACCGTTCTTTAAGGTGGGAGTGATCTGGCAGGGGAGATCTTTTCTTTTTTTTTCCCCCCACAAGTAGCTCAGGGGAAGAAATCCTTCTCTTTTGGTTCCCTCCCCCCTCAGCTCTTTAGCATTCCCCTCACTGGGGTCCAGCACCTTGTTGAAGAGGAACATTTTAAGATGCATTTCCCTGTCTCAACGAGTGTGGGCTGTCACCTTTAAGCAGTGCCCTCACTTATGGGGAATGTGGTTCTCCCCTAGGCAGCGTACACAGGCTGAATGCCCATCTGAAACTGGCATGGGCTCGCTGCATTGGGCACGCTTTTTAAACCCTGGAGATCCAGGCATGACTGGGTTAATCCTTTTCTTCTAAAAGAACAAGTTGGTTTGTTAAAGTTTGAACTGTTAGCCAGTGACTGCAGGGAGCCATTAAAAGCCGGGCTTCAAGGAAGTGCTAAAGAGTCCCTTTTTTGGCTTTATTTTGTACATAAGAGAAAAACAGGTAACAAAAGAAGGCTATTTATAATTAACTAATTATAGGTTCCCTGAGAGGAAGAAGAACTGCTGAGGGGATGAGAGAATGGAAGCCCCGTCTGAGTCCAGGGACGGTTCAGAGGAACTGACAGGTAAGCCAGGTGCGCATGAAGATCAAAGAGTGCGAACAGTGTGTGCTGCACACTGTGCAGGCATGACCTGGCTGAAAACAGCTATGTAAAGCCTCCGAGCTGTGGTGCTGGGGCAAGCCCGACACCAGGAGTGGAGCACCCATGGGGACCACTCGAAGAAGAACTTCCTCTTTCGAAAGAGGTCTTCTTCCTTGTGAAATGAGGTTTACAGGGCTTCCGAAAGAGCACATCTTCTCTTCCACACAAAATGTCAGACGGGCAGATGCGTTCCTTGGACGTGGTGGCGTCTTTTTGGGATACCTCCAGTATCTGGAAAAACTCTGAAGTGTAGGACATAGCCTGTGATACGTAAAAGTTAGTGGCTCTAACAAAGGCTGTTGGTATTAATCCTAGAAACTGCTCAGTGTGAATGGACCCTCGAGAATGAGTTTGCAAGATCAGATCTTTGTTTTTAGATTCCTACCTTAATAATCTGGCCTTCTTTAAATGGTAGTTCTTCTTCTGCGGCATCAGGATTAGGGGACATTGTCAGAGGATCATAGTCAAAGAGAGCAACGAATATTCGAGTAGAAATATCCTCTGTGCCAGGATCTGTTTCTGATTCTTCATAAATCTCTGGAGAAAGATGGTCCCGACTACAGTATCCATCTGTGAAAGTAAGATCAGAGGGGAGCAAAAATTCAGCAATCAAGTCTATAATTTTCAACCTGTTCAATGTAGGTCTAAAATTTGTTCCTATATCTCTATTTGAAATGGGACTACATTACCAAGTCCTAGGAAACTTACAATGCGTTCCCACAAGGTCCACACAGATCAGTTAGTGTGCAGCGTCCTAGTGCACATTAAAACTTGCATCCCTCTACCCCTATTATAAAAAAAGCCTTTAGAAAAAAAAGTTACGCATTTAATCCCAATATTTCTGTTTTAATAATATCTGCATAAGAAAGATTATATATTTATTGAAAAAATAAATATTTTATTTAGGTTTTACTATAGAACATTTTTTAAGATGACTGTCCCTTCTTTACCTGCCACTAATGCCAGATCACTCTTAAACAATGTTTTTGTAATTTAAAATGGTCTGTTTAGAGGGGCATAGCTTCAATGGATGACTACAGAAATTTGTTTCCAGAACACTAGAAAGACAGTGGATAAGGAAATGCAGAACAGCCAAAGGGTATGAAGACAGTCCAGCCAGGAAGCTTTACACAGGCACAAAGCACAGAAGGGAAGTGGAACAAGGAGAGGACATGAACAAATGGCAACTGGGATTTTCTCCCAGTTGCAATCTTACTCCCACTGTCACATGGATTGGAAATGCAAAACAGGGTTTCTCTTCAGAGAATTGCACAGTCTATTTTTTTTAGTGAAACAGGACAAATTTTGCTCTCTGACTGGCAGCCAACTCCAACAGAAGTCAGTTGAAGTTAGTTCCAAGCATGAGTTGTGCAGAGGATTTTATCAAAACAATTCTGAACTGCAGTGGTGATGATTCAGGATGGTCACATTTGTTTCAGGCAGAATAGAGCTCTTGTGAACTGCCTAATTATTTATATTCAGTGACTGACTGCTGTAGGCCAGATTTTCAGCTAAATTGTCAATAGCTCCACTGAAGTCCATGATCTATGTTGATTTATATTAATTTATAATCTGGTTCTAGATATTTAAAACTTTCTGCTGTCTAATCTAAAAACCAGATACCTACCTGTAAATGGTTCTTTGAGTTATGATGCACGTGTGTATTCCAGGCTGTTTTGCATGCAACCTAGGAACTGAAGCTGGAGAACTTTGCCTACCAGTATCCATAGGGGCAATGGCCACACCCTGAAGCCTAGCTCTTCCCTTGGCTGTAGCAAAGCAGTGCCACCCAAAAACAGTGCCAAGATGCCAGAGAACACCTTGTGGAATATACTTTTGCATCACAGCTTAAAGAACAACAGTCAAGGTTATGTAAGCATTTTTAGATTGTTGAGTTGCTGCAGCCATGTATTCTAAGCAATACTTGCAGGAGGTGGGTCCCTGAATCTATTTAAAGAAGGGCTGCAGAACTACTTTCCTGAAATTTGCATCTGATCAGGATGCATCCATGAGAACATAGTGGTTTGCAAAAGTATGCACAGAAGACCAGTTAGCCATCCTTCAGGAATGTCATTTAGAAGTGCAAGTGACATTGCCTGAAATTAACATTTAAACTAAATCTAATGTACTTTACATATTGTACTGCTACACACAAGGAAAAGCCATGGAAGTGTCTGCTAGTAGGCACATTTCTCCAGCTGTGGTGCATGCACACTCACATGGACTATAGGCTGCATCTGCTCAAAGCACTTTTAGGGGGAAACTGTTAAGTATTTTAACTCACTGTATAATGAGCTATGAAAGGCTGAGACTTGTGCAATTATGCAGTGGCTTCTTATTTTGATGAAGCAGCAAACACAATCGGTAGTGGGTGGAAAACAGTTATTACTTTACATACTTCAATTAGCACTTGTAGTTAGAGGGCTATACACATTTTTAAAATTTAATTGTTTTTCCTTTGAATGGAAAGGCATTGACTAATTGCCAGGGGCTTCAGGTCAACTCTATGCCAAACCAATAAACTAGGAGTAATGTTTTGGTCATGCTGTTCCTATCTATGGAAGGTTTGGTAATGATGAACCAACCCCATTTTGGTTCTGTCTAATAGTATATTTAATGAACCATGTTGAAATGTGATCTTTTTGATCAATGGGTGTTCAAAGGTGCATACATTAGATGTTGACTGATGTTAAACAGCCATGGAGGAGTAGTTTCACAGAGGTTCATGCAATGCAGAGTGCTTTGACTTGTTTCAGTATGGAAAGCTGGTTGCATGACAGATGTCAGTGGATGACTAAGAGCTCTTTCTCCCTTACAGCTGAGCTGAACAAACTTACCTGGAAGCAGGGCAGACAGGACTTAAAGATTAGCTCCCCTTGCAATCTGCATTGCATGCAATGTTGTCATACTGAAATGGCACTCATTAACACCCGGCTCTTAATGCGTCTGTCAGAAAGGATGAAGAAGGTTTGGCATACCGTATCTATAGTCAGAGGCCATGGCCAATGCTGCGATAATAAGCTTCTTCTTTTACAGGTGAAATATTTCCCTCACTACCTGACCGAGACCGACCGCCTTCACTGTTACTGTCCATTGTAATTTCTATGGAGAAAAAGGGAATGATCTATTAAACATACTTTATCGTCTTCCCCATGGAGGCACCTGAGGGCAGGCTTTGCCAATATTAGGACTCAGTTATAGCAGGATACCTAAACACCTGCAGAACTATGTGTGAGTCAGTATGATGGCCATTCTCAGGTGAAATCACTCTCCAGTGATTCTTTTACAGCAGAGGTACAAAAAGGAATGTTTGCTTTTTAAAGGGACTTGCCTTCATACTTTAAAAATGTACATGAATTTCTGGAGGATAAATGCAGACTCTGAGTTCTGTGGGGGCAGGAAACTATATTTTTCTTTATAGCACCTACCACAATGGGATCCTGAGCTATGACTGGGGCTGCTAGGCACTATGATAATACAAATAACAACAATAAACATTCTAATCTTTATGTCCCCTGCAAGGTCAGGGGAAAATGTAAAATACATTTTATCTTTGGAAGTAGATTATCGAAAGCCAGAATTAAGTTGAAATTTTTCTGTTTGCAGGGAGATGTTAGTGCAAATATATTCATAACGTAACAGGGAAATAATCTAAAATGAATTTAATTTTGGGGACCAGCTAACTCCAGCTATCACCATAAGATTTTGACTGTGCTGTTGATTGACTTGACTGTTCATATGTTGTTCTCTCCTTGAAGATTAGTGTCAATACCTTATGAAAACACTATTACTGACCTAACAATAATGGTAGCATTTTAGTGATGCTGAGCAAATATGCGGTGCTCAGTATATTTCTATATGAAAATAAAATATATGGCCCCATGTTCTTTGGGCCTTAATGAAATAAAACCTCTACTAATTTCAGTTAATGGGAGTTTTGCTCCAATAAAAACTTTAGAATTTGTCCCAACCTTTTTTTAAAACAAAAACTTTTTTACGATGACAGCCATAATAACTATAGTATTCGGTCCTCATTCAGGCAAAACTGCCTTAGCAGTCAACAGGAACTTTGCTTTAGTGAAGACAGTCTGATCAAATCAGTACAAGGATCATTACACTGGATACATTGGTTTTATTCAGTCTATCCATTTCGAAACTCTATTCCTCATTTGTTTTCTGTAGCAAGTCTGGCTGTTATACTTGTCTTGCTGACATACAATATTGATGCGGATAATTATTACGTAGTGGGTACATATTTATTGCCAATTACTTTTGAATAGCTAAGCAATCAGTTGTGTTGATTTTATTAAATGCCCTGCTGAGTTAAGAAAGCCATGTGTATTGCAAAACTGACAATACTCAGTTTTGTATTAGTCCAATTCCTGTGAACTCTACTAGAAACCTGTTCTCTTTGTTTAAACATGGCAATACAGTCAAAGAAGTCAGCAATTAGGAATCCTGGACCATAACCACATCACATTTAAGAATGATACAGGATAGGGGCTGTCATCAATTTTGCAGAAGACAGTGGGTAATTCTTTCATTAGATGCTAAAAATTCTGCCACTGTGGGTTCTCTCTTATCAGTCAGTGTTAGACAGTATTGTAATTCAGTCCTACCGTGAATTCCCCAGTAAAGCATTCACAAAGCATACTTACTACAAAATACACTAATGAATTTTTGAACCCACACTAAAGAAATAGACTGAAGCCTTTATATTTTATTCTCTGGTTAACTATCATTTTGAATGTAGAGTGATTGTAAAAAATTAATTCTTCTTATCTACTCCCTAAAATATTGCTCTTTAACTACTGAATAGTTGAAGTCATAATTTAATAACTCTTTATATCCCAATCTTGTTTAGAGAGAGACAGATCTTCTGCATTTAATCGGGGCCCCGCTCCATCCATATCTTCCCCTTAAAAGAAATCCCCAGGGATCAGTTGAATCAAAATTATTTCAAACACCATCCCAAGTATTTAATGTTAGATCATTTTAACAGGCAATAAAATATATTGTGCATTTAAGATTTTAAAAGCATTCCGGGTATAATTCATTCTGATCCTGAAAAAAAATTACTATTGGGGGGAGAGGATAGCCATATAAAAAAAAGGGGGAAACTGATCTAGCTAAGAGCAACCTATACTGAGAATGTTTATCAGCTGATAATTATATAGCTCAGCTATTATTCACCAGTTGATATTTGCACATGCACGCTTCTTTTTTTAAACACCAGTGCAATTCCACTGAGTGATATTACTGATTTGTACCAGTGTAAATGGGAGGAGAGCCACGCACTACATATACATATTGAAGACGCTTAGAATTATTTTATGAATTATAGGTGTAATTTTTGAAAATCCAGTTTTCATAAATTAAGTGTCCCTAATAGAATATCCATTGGTTTTCCCATTTAGAGCAAAAACTAGCTAGCTTTACAAATCTGTAGAGGGTGCTATACACCACAAAAAGATTTCTGCTAACATTTCCTATATAGTCATTCTGCTGTATTTCCATAGAGGGAAGTGGAAAAATACAGGTCATATTTAACAATTTAAAAAATCCTATTGCTTTATAGTAAGTTAACACTATGAAGTTTCTTCTCTGTGTAGCTTCATAGATGAAGCTTCAGCACAGAACTGCTTAACATTGCCTTAGGTTCTCTCCATTGCTGTGTACACTGTTAATAAGGTAACATCTATTATAAGCACAGGTAGTATAGGAATTACATCACAAGAAGATTTTATTTCTGTACATAGTCTACAGTTCTCTATTTATACTCCTGTGTTTCTTGCATTCCTTCATGACTGTTTCCTAGTTGTTTGTGTAGGGTTCAGGTTTTGGAGAAAGTGTCTTTGTGCTTGGTGTCTTGATTCCATTATCTTGTCTGCAGTACTTTTTGGAATTTCTTTGCACATGGCAAGAAATATTTTAGGTCATGATTTAGCCAGCACAGAGATGCATTAGTTCGTAAAAGCAAATCTAATAGAATGACATATGTCCTACTTGCTTGTTTACTTCAATAACCTCAATTTTCCATGCTGAACTCCATTCCAAAAAGTAGTTAAGAGAATGGAAGGTGAAGGCAAATCAATGGTAGATGAATGGAATGATGGATGGGTGGATGGATAGATGAGTGGATGAGTGCACTTATTTTAGGTATCATATTCATAGCATGTCCACACCTTATTTTAAAGAATGAATTGTCGACTGTGGGTTTTAAATTGAAGCTATCACCAACCAAAGCCTAGGTCTTGATCCAAAGCCTACTGGAATCAATGGAAAAACTCCCACTGAACTTCATCAGGTTCTGGTTCAGATCTTTAATGAATCTCCAGTACACTCATTTAACCTAAGAGAGTTGGTTTCAATCTTAGTTCACCTTATATAAAGGATTTAGAGTTATGGTTGAAGGGTTTGGGGCTTTGTTGATTTGTTTTACCAGTCCCCCAGCTCAGCAGTTGTAAAGAACAGAAATGCACCAATCAGGCCAACTAACCAATAGAAGGGACCAACATTGGTCGAGACCTTTGTGGGACTCCACTGGCATGAGACAACCTTCGACCCGTGTGCTCCACCCTGTCAGGTCGTCCAGTGGATGCTGGATTACCTAAAAGCTAAAAAACAAAAGCAGGTTTTTAAATTACACAGCTGGGTGCATTAAAATGGCAGGTCAATAATGTCAATCACTGTCCAAAACATAAGCTCTAAAGGCAACTAAACATAGTTTTTAACTGAAAGGTTAGCTGAAAAGTTATATTGATGCCTTCTAAACCTGCAAAAGGAAAATGGTTCCCTAAAAAATGGCACGCACAGTTTGTAAACAGCACTCACGCATTAGAACAAAAAAAGAAAATAATTTTGGAAACATTCTTTTGCCTTTGTCGTTGCTGCTAACTTGGCTCAGAGTACTTTTAACTCTCGCAGAAGAGGACTAAAACCACTCGCATTAAAGCTATGTGGTCATAATACGATTGTTCAGGTCAGTGCATTTGGATTTTTAGCTATCTTGTTTTGCACAGTTTGCAGCACATTCATCAGCATATGTCCTTAATCTTGTGGTGTCTTTGAGAACACTGCTCTTCTCAAAAGGCCTTCTGTGGTTACAGGCTTTTCAATTCACTAATACTTGCAGAAGAGATTCATACAAATTTCACCTCACACCACTGCTAGTGTTCTTTTTGTTCACTAATTTGCAATAAATGTTGTTATATTAATGCTTTCCAGGATCTCTTTTTCAACAACTGAGATTAAATGCAGTATTGGCACCAATTTTAATAGGAAAACTTAAATGATCAATTCAAAATAAACTACTGGAGTAGGTGTGAAGCAGCAGCTGTATTTACTCCTACACAGGACCTTAGATTGGAGACATCCAGTCTTTGGACAGTTGCAGACTGAGAGGGTAAAAAACCTGTTTAGTTTTCTTTGGGCTCAGGGATGCCTAAAGATGCAAGTTCACAGAAGCACTCTTGTGCACTAACATATTGAAATGAAAATAGGCAGGATCACAGAGTCACCCCTGTGGATTAAGATGTGGCACCACATTGGCTTGTTTCTCTGGAAGAAGCTGTTTGCCTGCAATCTCACGCAGAGATGCAGTCTGCAACTTCAAAGGCAAGAAGAGATGGTCTAAAAAAGAGGGCAAAGACGTGACAGTGCAGAAAGTAGGTGAAGAATGGAAACACGATGAATCCTGTGACTCCAAGAAGCTTGCTTGGTCACTGTCACTGGGGGGAGATATTTCTTTGTACTTGCCCAGAGAGAAGGACTGAAGATGAAGAGCAATTCCTGCATATCTGGGAGTGAGGAGAGCAAAAACAACATGACAAAATGGAATCTTTAAGACAGACCATAAAAATAAAAATTGGTAAAATGTTTTTTCCAGTTAAAAATAAAATCTATTTTCTTATTTTTAATACAGTATTCGGATAGTCATTTAAAGTTAAACTAATTTCTGGAAAATTATAGTTCAGCTAACCCTTAATTAAAATTTAGATTCAGTTGTCCTTTAACAAAAGCAGCAATTATTGTAATTGGTTCTGTGGGGAAATCATTGTTGTAAAGCAAATTAAACTGATGTCAGTGTGATACAAAAGAATATGGAGAAGCAAAATGCAGATTTAATAAATAAAAAAATCATGAGGAAAGGAAAGAAATAAAACAACCACCAGTAGATAGGTCCCAAAGATGGATTTTAAGAAAAAAAAATCAAAAGAAGTGGGAAGAGGGAGAGAAAAGAAAGAGAAGAGACGGATTTAACAGGCAGATGTTAGAAGGAAGTTTTATTTCACACACCAGAGAGTCTTCTGCATCTCTGTGCGATGGCTCTGCAAGTGGAACAGCTGCCCTAGAGTCATTCACTTGTAAGTTGATCTTCCATGCTCGCTGGACATCTTTGGTATCTGTTCTATTGCATATTTGAGTCTCATACTTCCTCTCATAACTGGTCTTGGCCTCCTCACTTCTAGGCTCTGTAAAGGAAGAACCCATGTCACCAAAATCTTCTTCAATGCTGCTCTGCCTGATTAATGTTTTCCTGCGAGCAAGCAAGGGTCTTATGCTTTTTCTGCATGAACAGTTTTCAGTCTCTGCACACGTAGGTGTAACGTTGGCAGAAATCAAATCATAAGCACTTCTGAAATTAAAACGAGATTCTTCTTCCTCACTTCCACAGTCTAGTCCACTGTCAGGGCTTCTCGTTAAGGATCGACTGTAGTTATATCCTTTGTCTTCTGAAGTCAAATCCTCCATGGCTGAAACCCTGTGCTTGGATGGGTACCAGAAGGTGTGCTGTTTGTCTTGATTGTAGGGTCTAGCTACCCTGGATTTCATTTTATAGGGCACACCTAAAGCCTGCTTGTGCAATAGTTCAGAATATTCAACATCATCTTCGGCTACTTCTGGGATACTGAAAAGCCTTTTACCGTGGTGTATCTGCTGTGAAAATTCAGGCTGTTCCAAAAAAGCAGCTTCAGTGGTCCTATTCTTAGAGCATTCCTTAACAATATGTGATGTTAAAAAATAGGTGGGAAACAAACAATGCATGATAAAAATAAAATGGGAGGGAAAGGGGGGAGAAGGAAAGAAAAATAAAGACAGAATTAGTTTTAGAGCAATGGCAAACAGAAGGCATGCAGTTTATTCAGTGAGGGGAATGTCATGCTCTGAACAGGAATCTGAAAATAAAGACATGATTAAGTTGCTTGGTGTCAGATATAACAAAGGAGGTCCGTACAAACACAGCTGATATTGTGATGCTTTTACAAGAACAAATCCATGCATTTAACATAAAGCAATAAAAGCTGCATACAAGTTTAGCCAGGTGAGGGTAGAAGTGAAGTTAGAATATGGCACTACTGCTTAGGGTTCTTTGTGTGCTATGCCAAGCTGGGGTTTTTTTCATCTGTGGAGCATGTCTCAGAAAACTTTCTACAGCAGAGCTTTCTTGCTTTGCACCTGTTTAAGCATCCTAGGTTATTAACAAGAAACTCCACACTGGACAGGAATGAAGTCAGAAGGAGTTTGCATGATATCCACAACCTCTTAAAAATACACTCTCTTTAACCTTGGCTTTCACCAAAAACAAAAGCACCCCCCTGAGAACTGTGGGCTACCTGCAGCCATTGGATCCACACTGGATATAGCATCCTAAATCTGCTTAATTACTGGACAAGCAACCTTTTATAAAAGTCTATTTACATACCAAATGTAAGTATTAACTATCATGGCTTGGATAAAATCTGACTAGCTTACAATAAAAGCCACACTTTAGCTTAAAAAATCATGTAATTGAAGGTTCCTATGCAAATATGTCTTTCTGGTACTCTGAAGCAGATACTGGGATATCCAGATTAATAAGCTAAGAGGCGCTGCCTTTGAACTATGGAGCCCTTCTCTGTTTTGGCCATTGATACCACCTCTCTCTTTCCGTCTTAGCTTAATGACTGCAATGAGCTTGGGACTCCTGAACAGAAGGGCAGTGGCCCGTGCAGCATTTCTACATATGGGTAGCAACAGTGTAAGGGAACACAGCCATTTTTCCAGCACAGTAAAGTTTCAAAACTTCATTAAATCAATGTTCAGTTGTAAACTTTTCAAAGAACCATTACATTTTATTCAAAGTTACAAACAACTCCCATTTCTGAGAAGTCTGTAACACTGAGGTTCTATGATATATGTGTGGGGGTTTTTTAATAAAGATTTTAATTGTGTATTCCTAGAGCTTTTTTTAAAAGATGTCATAAATATTGAAAAAATATAAAGAAATGTGCATTAGAAATACTTCTGATCAGACTCTAAACATCCTTAAGTTTCATGGATACCTCAACCTAATATTCAAGTTTGGATCTCCTTCTAAATTACATATTGTGGGCAAGTGAAGGGAATAATAACCGTACACAAAAGTAAGTCACTTATTTGTACATGGAACACTTCCCTTTTGCATGAGGCAAAACTTGATACAGAAAAAATGGAATGAGCTACCTGCAATCATAGTTCAAAGTGCATGAGCTGGTGTACTTTCAAATGCAAATCACATCTACATTTAAAAGAATTCAGTTTGCTTAATATGCTTTCTGTTTCTTTTTTAATTACTGCAGCTATAAAGATGAATTGGATCTAGCAAAAGAGGGACACTCAAGTATTTTAATTCTAGAACCATAAATGCAATGGTGAGTGTCCTCCAAATTCTAAACTTACTCCCCTGCCCTACTAGATTCAGCTTCTGCACAGCCAATCAACTAGCAGATGTTAACAATAAACCTTGGAGAAGATCCACAGCTTGCATTAAATCAGTATATACTCATGGACATCAAATGGAGCTTTAGTGATTTACCTCACCTGAATATCTGGTCCTTGTGTTTAGAGCTGGGTTGACAGTACTGTTAATGTGGATGTAAATAGTAGTAGTAAATCTGCTTCTGGTTCATAAAGAACCAGACAGGTTTAGGGATAATTCAGTGTTTGCCTAGCAGCAGTGAGAGCCATTTCTTTTTCAAGCTTTTATGAAGATACTAAACAGAAGAATGCATTTTTTTCTGAAACGTACTTGATAATATCTCTTTATAAATGGCATACATTTTAGGTCTGTGTATAAAATATATATATGCAGTCATAGACAACTTAAGGTCCATGGGCTGCATGAGGTCCATTGGGTCTCTATGTGTGGCCCATGAGACATATTGTTTACTATTGCTCATGCACCAAGAGTCCAAATTCTGCTGATTTCCATCCTCATAGGTATTACAAAAGTGACACACATGTAAAGCAAGGACACGTGAAGTGAGGTGCATGCAGATTGCACACAACATTGTTATAATCTGTGCTCCTTCTACATTGGATTAAAAGGCTGATGTGCAAGAGCAGTTAGCAAAACTATCTTATCTCAGGAGACCATCTTGGCTACAACAGTTTTGTGACCCATTGAGACAGTGGGCCATTCATGTGGCCTACTCACTAGCCTAGTGAGTGAGTTATACCAATGGTTACAAGATCCCTATGGCTACATCTATATTGGCATGATCTTGCGCAAGAACTCTTTTGTGGAAGAGTTCTTGTGCAAAAACTCTTCCAGAAGAGAGCATCTACACTGGCATGTGCTTTTGCGCAAGAGCAACCATGCCCGTGTCAACACTCTCTTGCACAAGAAAACTCTTGTTGCCTGTCTACACTTGCCTCTTGCGCAAGAGCAGTTGCGCAAGAGGGCTTATTCCTGAGTGGGAGCATCAGAGTTCTTGCGCAAGAAGCATTGATTTCATACATTAGAACGTCAGTGTACTTGTGCAAGAACTCGCGGCCAGTGTAGACAGGCAACAAGTTTTTGCACATGAGCAGCCACTTTTGTGCAAGATCGCGCCAATGTAGTCACAGCCTATGTGTTTACATAAGAGTATTAAATGTTTGTTAGTAACATGATATTTTGGTTGTGGGAAGAACCACCTGTAGGTTTTTGTATAGTTTCAGTGATACGGCTTGTTAAAGAAGGAGCATCTTAACATAGTAGAAGTATGCACATAAGAGGCAGTTACTGTATGTCATATTACACAAAATAGAAATTCTATGTTGGGAAAGTTTAGTGTTTGCATTGTGTTTTCTAATTAGATGAATACAATCATCTTGTAGGTTGAATTTTCCTATGCAGTATTTGGAGACCTCATTCCTGACATATGTTTGCCATCATTTTCTATGGCTCCAGAAGCTCATTCGTGATTGTGACACCAAGATTAAGGACTATGCCCTTTATCCAGGATATTGGGAATCCATATTGCAGTGAATAAAATTCCTCTCATCCTTTACTAGCATGCGCTAGAAGGCTTCCGGGGCGGGAGGGGAGGTAATTCCAAAACGACCAGAAATATAGAGAGGATGTTCACAGAATATTTCATAGGATCATCGAGCTAGAAAAGAACACAGAAGGTCATCAAGTCCAGTCCCCTGCCCAAGGCAGGACCAGTCCCAATGAAATCACCCCAGCCAGGGCTTGTCAAGCCAAGTCTTAAAAACCTCTAGGGATGGAGATTCCACTACCTCCCTAGATAACCCATTCCAGTACTTCACCACCCTCCTGGTAAAATAGTTTTCCCTAATATCCAACCTAGACCTCCCCCACTGTAACTTGAGACCATCGTTCCTTGTTCTGCCATCCGTCACTACTGTGAACAGCCTTTCTCCATCCTCTTTGGAACCTCCCTTCAGGAAGTTGAAGGCTGCTATCAAATCCCCCCTCACTCTTCTCGTCTGCACACTAAATAAGCCCAAATCCCTCAGCCTCTCCTCATAGGTCATGTGCTCTAGCCCCCTAATCATACAATCATAGAACACTAGGATTAGAAGGGACCTCGAGAGGTCATCGAGTTCAGTCCCCTTCCTTCATGGCAGGATCAAGTACTGTCTAGACTATCCCCGATAGACATTTATTTAACCTACTCTTAAATATCTCCAGAGATAGAGATTCCACAACCTCCCTAGGCTATTTATTCCAGTGTTTAACTACTCTTGACAGTTAGGAACTTTTTCCTAATGTCCAACATAAACCTCCCTTGCTGCAGTTTAAGTCCATTGCTTCTTGTTCTATCCTCAGAGGCCAAGATGAACAAGTTTTCTCCCTCCTCCTTATGACACTCTCTTAGATACCTGAAAACTGCTATCATGTCCCCCCTCAATCTTCTCTTTTCTAAACTAAACAAACCCAGTTCTTTAAGCCTTGCTTTATAGGTCATGTTCTCTAGACCTTTAATCATTTTTGTTGCTCTTCTCTGGACCCTCTACAATTTTTCCACATTGTTATTGAAATGCGGTGCCCAGAACTAGACACAATGCACCAACTGAGGCCTAACCTGCGCAGAGTAGAGTGGAAGAAGGACTTCTCGTGTCTTGCTCACAACACACCTGTTAATGGATCCCAGAATCATGTTTGCTTTTTTTGCAACAGCATCACACTGTTGACTCATATTTAGCTTTCGTCCACTATAACCCCTAGATCCCTTTCTGCCGTACTCCTTTCTAGACAGTCGCTTTCTATTCTGTATGTGTGAAAATGATTGTTCCTTCGTAAGTGGAGCACTTTGCATTTGTCTTTATTAAACTTCATCCTGTTTACCTCAAACCATTTCTCCAATGTGTCCAGATCATTTTGAATCATGACCCTATGCTCCGAAGCAGTTGCAATCCCTCCCAACTTGGTATCATCTGCAAACTTAATAAGTGTACTTTCTATGCCAATATCTAAATTGTTGAAGATATTGAACAGACCCCTGCGGAACCCCACTTGTTATACCTTTCCAGTAGGATTGAGAACCATTAATAGCTACTCTCTGAGTACAGTTATCCAGCCAGTTATGCACCCACCTTACAGTATCCCCATCTAAGTTGTATTTTCCTAGTTTATTGATAATATCATGCGAGACTGTATCAAATGCCTTACTAAAGTCTAGGTATACCACATCCACCACTTCTCTCTTATCCACAAGACTCATTATCCTATCAAAGAAAGTTACCAGATTGGTTTGTCATGATTTGTTCTTTACAAATCCATGCTGGCTGTTTTCTATCACCTTACCACCTTCCAGGTGTTTGCAGATGATTTCCTTAATTATTTGTTCCATTATCTTCCCTGGAACAGAAGTTAAACTAACTGGTCTATAATTTCCTGAGTTGTTCTTATTTCCATTTTTATAGATGGGCACTGTATTTGCCCTTTTCCAGTCTTCTGGAATCTCTCCTGTCTCCCATGATTTTCCAAAGATGATAGCTAGAGGCTCAGATACCTCCTCTATCAGCTCCTTGAGTATTCTAGGGTGCATTTTATGATGCCCTGGTGACTTGCAGGCATCTAAGTTTTCTAGGTGATTTTTAACTTGTTCTTTGTTTTTATTTTGTCGTCTTAACCTACCGCCTTCCCACTAGCATTTACTATGTTAGGCATGCCTTCATCAGACTTCTCGGTGAAGACTGAAAAAAATAAGTCATTTTGGTTATTCTTTGTTGGACCCTCTTCAGTGTGTCCATATCCTTTCTATAGTGGGGGGCCCAGAACTGGATGCAATACTCCAGATGTGGCCTCGCCAGTGCCGAATAAAGGGGAATAGTCACTTATCTAGATCTGCTGGCAGTGCTCCTTCTACTGCAACCTAATATACCATTCTCCTTCTTGGCTACAAGGGCACACTGTTGACTCATATCCCACTTCTCATCCACTATAACCCCCAGGTCCTTTTCTGCCAAACTGCTACTTAGCCATTCAGTCCCCAGCCTGTAACAATACTTGGGATTCTTCCGTCCTAAGTGCAGAACTCTACACTTGTCCTTGTTGAAGCTCATCAGATTTCTTTTTGCCCAATCACCTACTACAGGGGTGGGCAAAAGGTCCTCCGTGGGCTAGATCTGGCCCACCAAGCATATGGATCTGGCCAATTACAGCCTGGGGGAGGGGGAGCACCCGAAGCCGCCTCCTGCTTTTCCCTGCAATGTATCTACTTCTCTTCCTAGCTTAGTGTCATCCACAATCTTGCTGAGGGTGCAATTTATCCTACATCCAGGTCATTAATACATTTGAATACAAAAATGTGTGTGTACGTAAATGCAAACGTATGCGCACATCAGAAGTTCTCTCAGGGTCTGAATGCTAATCTAATGTAGTGCAGCACAGTTGGAAGGAAAGACTGCCCTCCTGCAAATTTGAAGCAAAACACATAATTTCCTAATAGCCCAAGGACAGTCTTCATTATATGAAGCTCTTGGCTAATACCAGAGAATTAAGAGGACTCCATAAGGGGGACTCTACATGATGAATACCAGAACTGGTCAGCGAACTGTAGAGTCTTTAGCAGATAAACAAAGTGATAGCGTCAAGGAAGGAAGGAAGGGAAGGAAATGAATTAATTAAGTTTGCCCTTCTCTGAAGTGTAAGTCCTCCTTTTCAGTCACTCTTACCTTGAGTGTGTTGTGTGATGTAACGCTGACTCCCCTCCTTCCTCCATCCTCAAGTTGCATCTCTGAGTACAGCTCTTCTTCATCTTCTTCCATGATATCAGACAAGTCAGAGCCCCTGCTGCTCTCTGTGTTATACTCCTCGCCGTGGCTGTAGTGTGGCTATTAGACGGAATGGAAAGAAAAAAGACTGCTGTGTTTAAAATCCAAAGTGACAGTGCGCCCACAAATGAGGGGCATGGCAGCAACTGGCAGCTTGAATATTGCAGTCATACCTTGTGTAAAGCCACACTAATCTGGTGCAAATTTCTGTAACCATCAAGGTTATGTCTACACTATGGTTTTTTGCGGGGGGGAGGGATACCAGAGGTATCCCGGAAAAACACTGCTGCATCCAAGGAATGTGTCTGCTCTTACACTTTTCTTTGTGGAAGAGTAGACATACTCTTTCGGAAGCCCTGTCTTCCTCATTTCATGATGAAGAATGGCTCTTGCGAAAGAGGAGGCTTTTCCGAAATTTGGCACAATATAGACAGGCCAAATTTCAGAAAAGCCTCTTCCAAAAAAATTATCAGAAGGCGCAATTTGCATACCTTTTCCCAATACGTCAGTGTAGTGCAGACATAGCCCAAGCAGCTAGATAATATACAGAGCTTTATTATTGTGATCATATTAAGATCCAGAAATCTTGGCTTGAGGACCTACAATGGGCACCATTACACTTGCATGTCTACTGCACTATAAATTGCACAAGGCTCTGATTAAAAAAGCCCCCTTGATTTTCAGAGGCCCTACATCTGTCAGTGGATTTCCTGATCGTTTGGTGAAGGGTCTAGTTAATATAATTAATTCTAATTTGCACATCAGCTACTCTTCATTGTTATATCTGATGTTTGCTATATCTTACACTAAACCTTACATGATTTCAACAGCACCAGTTAGTTCTTACATAATGTTTCTATATTGTACATTTTCACTAGATGATGAGGGTCAATGAATTAATTCACTTTGGTATTCTAATATCCTTCTACAGTTAGTTCCACTAAATTAAGTTGTCTGTGCTTTCAGCTAGGTGGAATGGATAGCTGGTGTTACATTTAATAATTTTGGTAAATTCTTCTTTTCTGTTACTGGTGTCATGATTTATAGCCAGACTCCAGATAACAAACCAAAGTTTACCGTGATTCTACATCTATGGGTAGAGTTTTAAAACGAAGCATCTAATCTGTACAAAATCACACTTTGGAATAAGATCTTTAAGCAGTTTCATCGGCTTGTACAATCAATCATGCTGAACCCACTTGAAAAATATGTGCCCAAAAATTTCGCATGTGCACTGTGTAAAAACTAAAATGCAAATCTCATTGTAGCAAATAACATATCTGCCTATCCTGTAGGTGTGCTGTTCCCTCTCTCAAAATGAGGAAAAAAGTACAGATCTTTATAGACAATTTGTCTGAAGCATAGAAATTAAAGATAGGGATAGGTCCAAACAGAAATTTCACATTGAATATACTTGACATTTGAAATGTGGCTCCAAATCTGAATTTAAATCCATGAGACAGATCTTCTTCTGGTGTATTCCAGTGCACACTGGTTTATGCTAGATAAAGATCTAGCCCCCCATCTCTGTAATAGGCCAGACCAAAGGTTAGGATCCAAATAGCGATAGTGAACTACATAGCTCAGTCCCACCTTTAGCATCAAGGGAGCAGTACTATACATTGTAGAGACAATTTCCAGGAGTACACCTATCTGCAGGGCTCGACAAATAACGTGGCAAGTAGATTACAACCCGGAAGAGCTGGGTTCGGGCGATCTGCGCATGCGCAGATCGCCAGACAGCGCAGCTGGCGAGCAGGGCTCGCTGCAGTTCGGCGAGCCCTGCCTATCAGCAGCAGAAAAATAATTTTTGGAGAATAAATTACTGAAATACTAGACTCCCAAGGAGCAGAAGTTACTGTATTTGCCCAGAAGAAATACTAAAGAGGAAATAATTTTCATAGACAAGAATCAGTTCCTATAATTCCATAATGAATTGTCAATAAACTGCTGTAAAATTCCAGAAATGAAATGTCTGCATAAAGCAATTGCTCTGAAGTGACAATGTGCTCACTTTCCAAATATTACAGCAGACTTGCACACACTTTATCCCTAGACAATGGTATAAGAGATCTTATTGTGTATTTCTGCAGTATGTCTCAGATGTATGAGATGTTTATTAATGCTAAAATCCTTCTTTCATTACATATGGGAGCCAGCTTGGCCGTGCAGATCAGGCAATGGCCTTGGAGACAGAAAGCTATTATTCTATTTCCAATTGTGCTGCTGATCTACTGTATGACTTTGGCAAGTTACTTCTGCTCTAGGACCCTCTACATCCCCTATTGTTAAATGCAGATAATGATGCTTACTTTCCATTGTAAAATACTTTGTGATTTGTGTATAGAAGATAAGTATTGTTATTATTCAGGACCATGATAGCCAGCCCCTTTACAAACACTCTATTGCTTTGCTATCCAAAGGATTGGGTTAAAATCCATAGATCCTTTCAATTTCCCTCAGCTGCATGGACAGGAGGGATAATTTTAAGAAAGTAATGCTCCATGATTTAATGCTTTCAGTTCATTGATGAAATGACAGACTCCCAGAGTTTGTTCAGGTGCTCTCACTCTCAGCCACACTATTCCAATGGTGTCTTGAGTCCAATTTCAGTGAAACAAACCTTGTTCTCAGTTAGCCCTGCCAAACAAGGGAGTTCGTCAGGGGCTGCAGCAGTGTTCCTAAGATCCACACTTGTGATAGCGTATAGATTATCCAAGGTTTGGCCCTGCTTCCTGTGCCTTTCTACTTAGAACTCAGAATGGTTAATCTTTTTCATCCTCCCTGCCAGAGGACGTTGTGAAGGCCAGGACTTCCAACATGATTAAAAAAAGAACTAGATACATTCATGGAGTTTAGGTCCATCAATGGCTATTAGCCTGGATGGGTAAGGGATGTTGTCATTTTCCTCTGTTAGCTAGAAACTGGGAATGGGTAACGGGGCTGAATCATTTGATTGCATGTTCTGTCCATTCCCTCTGCAGAACCTGGCATTGGCCACTTTTGGAAGACAGGATACTGGGCTAGATGGACCTTTGGTCTGACTTGGAATGGCCATTCTTATGGTCAAAGTTGTTATTGCAAGAGCAAAGCTTCACAGCTACATAGCAGGCTCTTTGCTGCTTATCTGCTGTCACTTTAATAACAGAGGAGTCTATTAAACACACACCAATTATTTAATGAAAATCTTCTAATTGATGTGTTAGAATTTACTAAGATGACATGTAATGCAATCAGCTCAAATTTATGTAAGCAAAAATTATGCCATTACATTCTTTGTTGGCAATTAATTTGTTACAAAATATTGAAGAATCTAAGTGATATATAATAAGATATTGCTTTTTGTAATTTAAATATACTTTTTTTTAAAAAAAATCATTGTGTTTGAGACCCTCCCCCCCCCATCCTGGAAATACACATGCACACCCTTAACAGTAGTTAGACTTTAAAATAATAATTTCTTTATTCAAAATCACACAGGAAGTCTGTGGCAGATCCAGTGACTAGTTTGATTTTCAAGGGATGCAATCTATTTAATCACAAATGAAATTTTTAAAAAATCCATAAAGTATGTTAACACAGTTATAGAAAGGGACTATAGCTGTCATCTCCATTAATAGCATTTTAATCTGTATTTGTGATTGCCACTCCCTTCATTCTTTCCTTCCTCCCTCTTCCCCTCCCTCCAAATTTGTTTTTAACATCATCTAATGGAAAGATGTAAATGTAACCATATTTGTAACTTGTGTGTAGGTCTGCGTAGAATTTCAATATGCTTGGGTCAGGCCTGCCAACAGAGTGAGCCATGGGGCAGTTGCTCCAGGGCCCAGTGATTCAAAGAGGCCACCATTGCTGTTATTGCGGCCGTAGTAGTGTCACTAGAGCACTGAACCAGGTGCTCACTAGAGCACTGAACCAGGTGCTCTGCATGACTTAGAGGATTGTGGAGGACACAGCATGGTTGGCTGGCCCTGCTTCTTCCACTCAAGGCTTCACCCATTCCAGGGGCATGGAGCCAGCCTTGTCTCACCTTGCCCTGTGGCCCCTGATGGCTGTTGGTCCCCCTGACTTGTGTAATCATAACATAATACTAAAACTTGTAAAACAGACTACACTTTGCATTTGTGAATGTCTGCGTGGTCCTTCTCTGTGGTCTTTGTGTGTTCCTAGAGACTCTAAATCTGAAGTAAGTAGCAGACATGTTTCTCTGTTAGGCCTGAAATTGTAGCCTGCTAGTGAAACTTGCATTACAAAACTCACTTTAAATAAATTAATAGGCTGCACAGCTCTAATTATGTCCAATATCAGAACTCGGAGCATTCTGCCAACAAGGTACTGTATCATGCGGAAAAAAAAATCTAGCTATTTTTTTATGCTGCTGTAATAAGAGGTACAGCTCACTTGAAAGTAAACAGTTAAATTGTCCTGTCATGCTTTCAGTAGGATGAGGCTGAAGACTGGGATTAGGAAATTCTTCTGACAGCATCTTCCTCTCTGCTGCGTGCATGCCTGGAACAGTGTGCTAGCTTCCTTGCTTGTTTAGGTGACATATCATGGCTTTTAAATGACACACACTTCCAAGCTTTTTTCTGTCTCAAAGCATGTTAATATAGGTAAACATAAAGCACAATAAAAGTCTTTATACTGAGCAAAAGTGCTTTCAACTTCTAGGAGGCAGTATAGTGCTATAGAAGTAGAACAGCCTATTCAGCTAACTGCTTACAAGTCTTCCTGCTTAGCCACAGAGCATTTTGGTTTGACAGTCAGCAGAATGACAATGCTCTGGTTAATGTGTTGAGCTTCATAAAATATTTTCAAAAATATTCCACACCTGGGATAGCTCAGTGTTTTGGGCACTGGCCTGCTAAACCCAAGGTTGTGAGTTTAATCCTTGATGGGGCCATCTGAGGCAAAATCTGTCAGGGTTGGTACTTGGTCCTGCCATGAAGGCAGGGGACTGGACTTGGCCTCTCAAGGTCCTTTCCAGTTCTATGAGATAGGTATAGCTCCATATATTATTACCATAGTGAGGTCACACGCATTACCTGCTTCCCAAGCTCTGAGCCTTTTAGGAAATCATCAACTGAAGCCCCTCTCCTTTTAATGCTGGGAGAATCGTAGCCATCTTCTTCCTCATCTGAATTTGCATAATGTGCCATATTACTCCGTTCGCTAAACACACTCCTCCGCTCCATCTGGCAAAACATCAACATGGTAAATAAAAGCAGGCACCCCCTTTCATTGCCATAGTTTCCAGCAAATCAAGGAAGAGATGTTAATATTCCAGGTCTGCTGCCTCTATGACACCTAACAAGATAATTAAATATACCCAGGGCTTAAGCTCAAATGACAGACTTCTGCTTCCTTTAACTCATAGGCCTTACACTGTGGCATGTACCTCTCTGTGCTAGAATTCCATCACATTTCAAAAGTTAAGCGAGCGCAGCCTGCGAGAGTACTTGGATGGGTAATCTCTAAAGAATGCCTGGAAGTTACAGGAAGTGGTGTGAGCTCTTTGAATCATGAATGAAAAAAAAGACAGCATGGTTTCAGAAAAGACATAAAATCAGAGTGCCTTCCTGAAGCTGCTGTATTT